TTTCCTAGAACCACACGTCCAAGTCAACAACCATTTAAAAACCTTTATTTTTAAAAGCGGTGGGGAAACACCGCAACTAAGCACTGGGATTTGTTTCAAAACATTTACTGTGTATCACAAACAGCCTATGGAATTGTGTGAAGTCTACATGTCTCCCCCAAGACCACACGCAGCATCACAATCTCCTCTTGCCCATCTCTACAAAAGTCTCCTAGTCATATCTGGTGGCCTGTAAACAATGCACAGTAGTCATTAGTGATGTGATAGGCCATATTGCACAGAAATACACAGTGGTTGCACTATGGCTGTACCCCAGCCCAACTCTCTGCAGCCTCCTTCCCGCGCTCTCTCATTTGGAGATGAAGCGAAAGATCCTGAGTGTTGGCTTTTTGTTCTCTTGGGGGAAGCGAGTGAGCATGCTGGGGCTTATTTGATGTGCTTCTCTCCGTGTGGGGAGGAGATGTCTTGTAGTGCTTTTAAGATTATTATTTGAGAGCGTGCGAAGAAGGAGAACCGTTCCTGCCGAGTGCCGAGCACCAGTAACACAGTAATTACAAAGCTAAGAAGTAACAGCACAAAATAAGGCAGATAAATCCCTGCCTAAGATATGACAAGCATGTAATATTGATGAGGACAGAAAAGATAAACTGTTCCAAAGCATGAGTACATGATGGCCTCTTTGGGGCCCGTTCTCTGCAAACTAACCGAATCATGCTCCAAGCCCGATTTAACACCATCTGGCTGGGCTAATATGCCACAATTACTGTGATGAAATAGATACAGATGAGCTTTGAGGATCAATCTTTGTCATTTTTAAAAAGACTGCCTTAAAATGACACATTAAAAGCCTCTATGACTGTCAGCTCAAGTAATTGACTGGGAAATGAAATCTAGCTCCAACTTTCACTCTCTCTCAGAGAGAGATTGATTTGCTTTTAATGTGATGCCAGGACAGCAGTCAAAGAACAGTATGGCTATTGTGTTACAGGAGCATTTTCTTTCTTCTGAGTGAAATCTGCAAAAAGCAAACAAAATAGAAAACAGAGCATCACTGAAAGGAGAGGAGACTGAAGCTTGACTTTGAAGGGAAAGGAAAAAACCACACACGCAAGGGCAATTCTCTTTGGCCTTTCGCCTGTCAGCTGAGGGGCTCGCTTATATGCCAAAGTCGACTGTCCTAGAGTTGAAACAGCCATCACACAAATCACACACAAAGACAACTTATGATCGCCTCACCACCAACGCTAGCATGGCCTTGCATCATAGTTGGTCTTCGGGCAACTGAAGCGAAAGGAGGCAACATATTGACGGAGGTTATGTCAACACATTCTACAACAATCAATAGTGTCAGAATCACTTAAATGTGCTACTGGTCCAAATGAAAAACAAGACTTTACAGTGCTACGATGAATACAATTACAAAGCTTCCTCCATGATTTGATTTTGGATTTTTTTGGATATTAACCTAACTAAAATGAGACAGCAGCTGTTATTGTTTATCAAATATTCATAAACGAACCCTTTATGACATTCCAAACAGGCTCCAAACAAAATATCTGCCATTATGAGGATATTTCACTTAGAGAAGCAGATAAATGATTATGACTATCGACAAAATCACCAGTCCTTATTACTATCACACTGTAAGTCAGGTGTCTGATAATATATTTATGTATTTATTTATTTTGTAATGTTTGGTGATTGTTTTTATTGTGCCCTTGTAGCTTTGAAACAACAGAATTTTGCTCTGGCATTAATAAAGTGGGAGAGATTTGGCACAACCTAACAGGGTAAAATGATTTAAAAAATAATAATGTACTTAAAGAGTTCCACGTAGAATGTGCTTTGGTTCATCTATAGTGTTCTATAGTATCTCAATGTATTACAGCAAAATCATCTGCAAACTGCAACAGTTTTCTGACAGACATTTCTCAATATTCACCCTAAAGACTGTTTTTGTATGATGATCTTTTTTCATCATTTTAATTACTGAGTGTTGGGTAAATCATAGGATCCACAAATATTATTTTAATAATCATGGTTCTTGTAGCAGCATTTTAACAACTCCAGTGAGAGCTAGTACAGCCTCCACACGGCAGGGTCAGTTTTATCACAGTTTATCAAGTTGTCCAAAGTAAACAATACTAGAGGCCTGTTTGCCCCTATATAAACTAAAAATAGTTAACTTGTTTGGAATGTTTTATCCACAAGTTCATCAAAAACCTACTATAGATAGTATCATGCAAGTAAGGTATTTTGAAGTGCCAAAATTTGCTGTTCTTTTTCTGCCAGCGTATACTACAGATACCTAACGTCAGTTGTTCATAAAAGAATGGACAATAAAAAAACAGAGGAAATAGTAACCTTGGAATTTAATAAAAACTGGTCCAAGCCAGTAAATAAATCTTAAACAGTAGAAGTTTAAGAATGAGGATTGTTTATCATCAAAAGTTGCTATACTGCTGAAAATGTTTACGTCACGTCTACTAAGGACTGTCATACATATAGTGAAAGTAACAAAAAGCTTGTTGTTTTAACACTCCTGACCCATTGTGGGATGCAGTGAAAGAGCCACATCACCAGGTCATAGCTGAACAAGGCCTGTCGTAGCAGTAAGGCCCTCAGCCTGAGGGGCATTTGTAAAGGTAAACTCTAGCACTGGGGATAATAGGAGCAGTGGGTTTAGTTGCTTTTAGAGGCAGGAATAATGGGAAAGGCCTGTGACGTTTCAAAAGGTAAACTCTAGTCTCTCTGACGTGCCTCTGGCAGTACAGTGGATATACATGGCCCTTTCTAAAGAAGAGTATATAAAAGGTCCGTAGGGCCGCAACAACGCGACGGTGTATACATCCTGCCCTGCAACCATGGGAAAGGTAAGAAAGTACTCATGTTTAGTGTCTAAAATCCTTACTGTCTACAATAACATCAATTAAGTAAATGTAAATATAGCAGTTCACGGTTGCTTTTTGCAATGCCACAAATTAGAAACTCATTGTACTCAAAATAATGACCGATCTATAGACTAAATACTGTCACTCTAAATAGTACACCGCATTGCTTAGAACTGCTTAAATCAAACATATCAGTGATATTTTTCAAACTGAAGAGTGTAGAAATCTTTCCTAGGAGGCCTACTCAGTTTGCTGCCATGCAAAAATGATGCCATTTCTCTGTTCCGTTAGAAGTGTATTCTCCCAGGGCAGTGTTACCAGCTTAGCTGACATCAATACAACATATGTATCAAACATCATCTTACCTCTCTGTTTGGCAGGGAATTAGCACTTTCATACCAAGGATTTACTAAAATTTGCATGAAGTGAATCACTAAAGGGCTGTAATTGTCTCTTCTTGATAGTCTATATTCTTCTTTGTTGTACTAAAAGTTAAACAGAGGGAAACAGTTTATTGATAAAGACTCACAGAATATTGCCTTATTCTAAAGTATTCGCTACTTGTAAATCTAATCTTTAAAATATTCTTTTCACCATTTACCTCTCCCGACAGATCATCTTTTACGAAGGACGCAATTTCCAGGGGCGCTTTTACGAGTGCTCTGAGGACTGCTACGACACCTTTAGGCACTTCAGCTGCTGCAACTCCATTCGGGTCATGGGGGGTTACTGGGTGGCCTACGAGAAGCCCAACTACATGGGTTATCAGTACATCCTGGGCCGTGGGGAGTACCCTGACTTTCACCACTGGATGGGCTTCAACAATTGCATCAGATCTTGTCAGATGTATCCCCCAGTAAGTCAATCAAACTGATGGGTTTTATTCCCCACTTTAAAACAACTTAACAAATCAATGTCAATCAGTGAAACCTTTGAAGTAATTTATAGATGCGGCATAAAAAGTGTACGAGAGTCCACCAGGAGATTCAGGCATAAAACGGAGGAGAAGACATGCTCTAAAGACTGTGCTCTCTCATTATAATTCTATTCATCCCTCTGGTTTGGGGGTTAGAGAGGGGGAAAAATCATTGCACTGTCACTAAAGTTTGCTCAACAAAAATGACTAAAAGTCTACTTCAAAAATCACATTTACAGCAGGGGGTCTTGATCAAAGGCTTAGCTCCAACTGCAACATCCAGATTTCAAAGTTTGTGTCTAACATCATGAGTGTTGTTTTTTATCCCTACACTACAGTACAGAGGAGGCTACAAGATGAGAATCTACAACAGACCTGACATGGCTGGACACATGATGGAGTTCTCAGACGACTGCCCCAACGTCTATGAACGCTTCCACTTCCGTGACATCTACTCCGCCCATGTCATGGAAGGCTACTGGATCTTCTACGAGCACCCGCACTACAGAGGCCGCCAGTACTTCCTCAGGCCCGGGGAGTACAGAGCCTGCGCAGACTGGGGCTGCTATAACCCCATGATTGGCTCCTTCAGGAGAATGAGAGGTGGTTTTATGTAGACTGAACTTGAACCTGTGGAATTAGGGTACCATTAAAGGCTGGTTTTAAGAACATGTCTCCAAATTGCCTCTTTTTTCAGATTATATTGAACTGTTTTGTGTGAAATGCAGCAGAGAAGTCTAGTCAGTAAGGTGCAAACTGCTTCACTGCCAAATCAAATCAATACATTAAACTCAAAATAAAGTGGAAGGTTTCAATCCAACTTATATTAGTTATTTTGGCAAGCTCCACAAAGATGTGAACTAGAAAGACTGAAGAAACAAGTCCAACTGCACAAATGCAGATGGCTTTGTGTAGGCCCTCTCCTCGTTTCTGACAGGTCATGTCTGAAACCCTCTTTAACTAAAAGCAGAGTTTGCAACTCTTTTTGTCAGGTGCTCAAAAGTGCAGTGGTTCTGTGTTTTCCATGCGATAAAAAAGGGCTCTGATAGAGACAAAGAGGGGCCATACACCAGCCAGACCTATAATGGCACGCAGTCTATAGAACACAATCTGCTGACAGGGCAAAGCTTTGTCAGCCACATACAAAAAGCTCTGAGGAATGCTCAGTCTATAAAAAGGTTCTGGCCTCTGAATGGGCCTGCTCCGGTCTGAACACAGTCACTATGGGCAAGGTAAGCATGCCAAATCACTGTCTGTGGGTAAAGGGAGGTACTAAAGAAAAGAATACAAATTAAAATCTAGGGTAAGAATCATAAGTATACTATGGAAAATATTTAGGGTGAAGGTTTTGCAAGCTATATTGCAACTGATGTGGTGTGAAAGCACAGCAACCAAACCATTCAGGACTAGTGCTCAAAGCTGTGGCTAAGAAACGAATAGCAAAGCAGCTCTCAAAATAAATAAATGTGTGGGAATTGATAGCTGAATAAAATGCTCCATTCAATCTCATCAAATTGTACTTTTGTTTTTCTTATACTGTTGTACTGAACAATGACCTGTGACAAAAACAAACAGCCTACAGCAACATAAGTGCAGAAACATCTTGCTAGCTATTAATTGTGAGGGTTTCAGTGTTGCAGGCCACAGCTGTGCTTACCTTAATGTCCTTTTGGCTGCAGTTTCTTGATGAGTTTAGCTTTTCTATGTTTTGCTAGTCTCGTAAGGCATGCGCGTCTGCGTAGGTTTCCTCCGGGGGCTCCGGTTTCCTCCCACAGTCCAAAGACATGCAGTCAGGCTAACTGGACATGCTAAATTGCCCCTAGATGTGAGAGTGTGTGTGAATGTATATGTCTGTCTGTCTGCCCTGCGATGGACTGGTGACCTGTCCAGGGTGTATCCTGCCTTCCACTCAGTGACTGCTGAGATAGGCTCCAGCTCCCCCCGTGACCCAGAAGTATAAGTGGCTTAGTCACATAATTTGACTGCTGTCAATTCAATGAAACAGCTTTAGCTGGGGACATTAGCAACCTGAAACAGACCAGTATTATCTTTACTAGTGCTATTAATAGTAACATTTTAGTAGTATTCTGCCTTGTACTTGTGTTTAAAGATTTTTTTTATTATCTATTTGTGTGAGTATTAATAACAACTAAACTTTGTCTCTTTTTCCAAGAACACAAAAGAGATATTTTTACAAAGAAAAAGTATTTTCACCAAAGCTTTTTGTGATATTAGTTGAGACTGGATTAACCAGACTCTTGTTTTGGTTTATCTCTTTATCTAAGTGTAGTTTTTGAAAAAAATAGGCAATAAAGTATTAATTAATATCCCTAGGTATAAATCTCTTATTTTTTTAAAAAATGTCCACTTCTCTTCACTGTCCACTCTGACAGATCACCTTCTTCGAGGACAGGAACTTCCAGGGTCGTCAATATGAGTGCACTGGTGACTGTGTTGAGATGCAGTCCCACCTCTCTCGCTGCAACTCCATTCGTGTAGAGAGTGGCTGCTGGATGGCCTATGAGAAGCCCAACTATTCTGGCTATCAGTACATGTTACACAAGGGAGAGTACCCTGACTACCAGCACTGGGCTGGCTTCAATGACTGCATCCGCTCCTGCCGCATGGTACCTCCTGTAAGTGTCTTTTCACAATAGCTATTCACAGTATTCAAATAACAGTGGACATTAATTATTTGTATAAACATACTGTAGGATGTTCGGGAAAGGTTTTCCTGTTGCTTTTGGGGTACTTTTGGGGTTCTTTTGGGGTTCTACAGCATTTATTTACTGGGTTTTTTCTACAGGTACTCTTGTTGTAAGGTGGGGCTAGCCCACTGGATGTGTGTTTGTGTCCTGGAGGGAGAGAGAAGTTAGGATAGAGCAATGTGCGAGCCAAGGCTGGAGCCAGAGACAGCCTGTAGTAAAATCTACAGTTGTGGAAAAGCTGTGTGCCTCCCATTGTAGCAGCGAATGCTACATGTGGTATCAGGATGTTGCAAGCTCACACTGGGAGATATTAGCTGCGTTCCAAAGCCTAGGCTGCAGCTGAGGTAGGCTGCATTTCTCGGCGGCTACGTCATAGAAGGCCGTTCCAAAGTGAGGGTGGTGGGGCAGACATCTACATCTGATTTTGGCTATATTTCCATCCACATTGAGGGAGTTCTATACACGCCATTGATAAATACTGGGTCGACCGTTACGGTGGCCCGTGCTGAAGTGGTTCCTAAAAGGCTCATGCACCATTCTTTGCGTGGATGAATGTTTAGATCTAGTGCCCTGGTCCACCTGTTTTTCATCCTTAGACTTGGGTACTGGCAGGTCCCACTGTCCCCAGAAGCTAGACCCAAAACAGCATTTCACACAGGCAGGGGCTATGGCATTTCAAGGTTCTTGCTTTCGGACTCTGCAATGCACAAGCAACATTCAAACACTTGATGGAAAGGGTGCTAAAAGGGGTTCCGCAACAAGAGTGTCTGGTCTTCTTGGACAACATACTGGTGCATGAAAGCTCATTTGACTCTGCTGTAGCTGCTCTGTGCAAAGTACTAGAAAGAATCAGGGCAGCAGGACTGAAATTGCACCCTAAGAAGTGCAAATTTCTGTGGAAAGAACTGATCTTCCTGGGGCACAGCATAGGTGGGGAAGGAATTGACACTGCTGAAGACAAGGCCGTACATGAGTGGCCCACCCTTGCTACAGAAAGCTGAAGAGTTCTTTAGGGCTAGCCTCTTTTTACAGGTAGTTTATGTGGGGGTTTTCTTGCATCGCTACCCCCTCAAATAAGCAGAAAGGACAAGACTTCAACTTGTCAGAGGACTGTCAGTCAGCTTTTGAGGCCTTAAAGCAAGACATAATGAATGTGCCTGCCCTGGCACCCCAGGACCCCAACATGCCCCTTGCAGAAACTACAGACATACGAATTCACTATAGCCCACTGTGCAAGTAAACGACATGGTAATGCTGTTGCCCTGTCCTGGCGCCCATGTAGTGAACAAACATGCAATACTGTGAGTACTTGAGATGAGACAAGGTGAAGGCATACAGGTTGAGGTGGCACGTGGGGCGACCATTCAAAGCTGTGCTGTACTATGAAAGGTGGACAGCAATGAGCAGGCTGATCAACAAACGTGGGACCCAGACCTGCAGCCAGTGACACAGTGAGTGAGCCCTAAAAACAGCCCCACTGTGAGGTGGTGGCAGTCCTGTCTCCATACACTAAGGGGCTGTGTGCCAAGGTTGACACCCTACACTTAGAGGGGGGTGTTCCACAGCAGGCCTGGACTGAGTCAGTGGGTGTCAGGAAGACCCACCCCATCTCACTCCACCCCAGACTAATGGGTTGGTAGAGAGGTTCAATTGCACTCTGGCAGAGTGGCTAGCTATTCTTACATCTAAGCAACAGCATGGCTGGGACAAACACTTGCCCCTGGTCCTCATGGTTGATGGCACTGCAGTCCAAGATTCAACCTTGTGTACCCCAGCCCTACTAACGCTGGGGAGGGAAATCAGGAGCCTTGCAGAACTAGCTTTTGTTCACCCCCCAGACCACCAGAACCAGCAGGCCCAGAGTATGCCCGGCAGCTCCAACATCGTATAGACAGAATCTATGCTACAGAAGCAGCTGCTGAGTTCGGCATGTGATACTACACTGTGACAGCCTGGCCCAGGCTGGCTGCACCAGACCAGAGGGAGACCTATCTCAGGCCTCTGCAACTGCTGATGGAGCATTGGGAACTCCTGCTGAACTCAATTCCCCTTCCAATGCATCCCCTCAACCCCAGTCAGTACAGACTACTAGGGGGTTCCCCACCCTGGCACAACCCAGAAGGAGGTGGTGCTTCCAGTTTGGTTTAAGGACTTTGTAATTCCTCAGGAATGAGGACATATGTAAGGAGGGGGTAGTGTAGTGTGTTTAGGAAATGTTTTTTCCTGTTAGTTCCGGGGTAGTTGTTCTACAGCATTTATTTGCTGTTTTTTTTCTACAGTGACTCTTATTGTAAGGCAAGGCTGGGGCCAGTAACAGTCTGTAATAAAGTCTACAGTTGTGGAAAAGCTGTGTGCCTCCCTACATAGTGGCGAACGCTATAATATTATGACTGCTATTCACATGGCTCAGTAATCTTCCCAGTACCTCTAAGCACCATGAGAACTACAAGATGAAGATGTTTGAGTGCTCTGATTGTTCCAGGCAGGCCATGGATTGTCTGATTCTTTTTTATTCCAGTGAAAAGTGTGAAATAGAGCAAAGCAGTCTACTTAGTGAGGTTAAAGGTTCACACTAGCACACTGCCAAAATCAAATCAATACAAAAGTAAACTCAAGACAATGTGGAAGTTTCTGTTGAACTTAAGTAATCACCAAGTTCATTCTGGTTAAAAAAATGATTTGGGGCTTTAAGAAAATGTCTCAAAATTGGCTCCTTTTTTTTAATGTTCTGTATGAATGATAATGAAACATCTCACAAAATTTCCTTCCAATACCATGGAAATTACATAACGAAGATCTTTGAACTTTCTCCAAATTTTTATTGAAATGTCAATGAGAAATCTTAGCGATTTCCTTCTAGTACCGTGGGAAGTACATGATGAAGGTCTTTCAGTGTTCTGATTTTGGGGCTTTAAGAACATGGCTCCAAATTGTGTCTTTCTTTTTTAATGTTCTGTATGAAATGATAATGAGATCTCACCAAATTTCCTTCCAGTACACTGGAAACTACAGGATGAAGATCTTCGAGCGCTCTGATTTTGCTGGCCAGGCCATGGAGCTGATGGAGGACTGCCCTGATCTACGTGAGCGCTTCCACAATGGGGATGTCTCCTCTGCTAATGTCATGGAGGGTTACTGGATCCTTCACGAGCACCCCAACTACAGCGGCCGGCAGTACTTCCTCCGACCTGGGGAATACAGGAGGTTCAATGAGTGGGGCAGTCCCAGTCCCGCCATGGGCTCCTTGAAGCGTATCACTGATTTCAACTGAAAACCTTTTGTGGAAACCTTAGCAACCCAACTGTGCCTTTCCCTAAAATGTTGCCAGCATGAGCTATTCTTGCTACAATTAAGCAAGGCCTGACTCCACAGGGCCTGTGGAACTGTGCAGTATTTGAATTTGTGCTTTATGCCATAACTCGGCACTGTATCCAAATGCCTCTGTTTAAAGTAGCTAAGGTGAATGTCTGCTTTGTTTCCTGTGTTGACTAAGTAAACTGTAAGCTTTCATAGCACCCTCGCACCACCCTTTTCTGCTAGAAGTGAAAATAAATGAAAATTTGATTAAAGTCAAATAAAAGACTTTTATACTGCTTACATTATAGTTTTTAATGAGGTACTGATCCCAGTGTTTCTCCATTCCATTTACAACTTGTTACTACCACATTAAATGCCATACAATGTTCACTGTTTCATATGCATTCAGATTAGGTCGGGAATGACATCAGCACAGCTAAAAGACAAAGGAAAATTATCAAGGAAACAGCCCGGTTCTTTGAGCTGAGTTATTGAAGAACAAACAGGGGGCATCTGAGGATGGGAATGTAGGAGTCTTTATAAGATCACATGGTACGTAGAAGGCGCTTTGGGCCCATGAAAGAAGCCCATATTAGCCGCACATCACAGGGCAGTGCAGACTCAAAGAGGAAGAGTCAAAGTGGTCTGGTACTAGCCGCAAGCATGCAGTTCTCTCAGAACACAAAACAAAACCAAGTCCATATCCCAGCTCATGCATTTTTCATAGGCTAAGGATACCAAGTCCTTTTAGAGATAAATATCAATTATTGAAATTGTTAATTAGGCACCCATAATTGGCGAAGATACAAATGAATAAATAACTTTGACGATTAATTATTGATTTGAAAGAAATTTGAGCTCTGTAGGGAACACGTTTGAGAGTCTCTCAAGATCAAGCAAAACAAGAAATATGAGTTTTGGCCTTGAGTAATGTTCAATTAAAGCTGTGGCAAATTTGCTATGAAGAGTCTGACAGCTTGCGATGCTGAACTCCTACATCCGCAGACCCCTCTTCTCCTTCAGACCTTTAACGTGATGCGTTTCTCGCATTATAATCAGTCCATGATAGAAAGTCACAGTTGCCTCGTGCACTGATAAACAATATGCAGAGTCACGTTGATCTTAATTTTTTCCCTCATATTTTCTTAAATTAAGCTCAACTTAGTGTAGATATCATGAATAATCAATTATATATTTTTCTGTTCAACATAGTCTATACCGGCCTGTAGGTGTAATTTTTTCTTTAATATATTAAACCATGTTGCCAATAAATAAACAATGCAGTTTAAATAAATAATGCAGTTTAAAAAAAAGCTACATATATAGAACCTAGCACTTAAAACAATTTAACATCAATAGTAGAGCCCTTTTGGGTGCTATACAGAACTACTTTTAAAAGGTTCTTTAAACAACTACAGTACTGTCATTTAATATTCAGTCAAAATAGGCTTCAGGTACAAGTTATTGATTTTCCAGCATCAGGAAAAAAAGTAAAAAAACATATTTAACAGAAAATGACAGAACAACAACTAAACAGATCAGATTTTTCAGTTTTTCAAAGAAATCGATAGGGCTATTTTTCCACATCCCTAAAGTTCAGCGTTAGAAGTTGGTTGTATTTTCTGCTTCTTATGATCCAAATAATCCAAAACACATTCAGTGATGTTGAGGTCTGGACTCTGAGGTGCAGCAGCTTCTTTGTTTGAATTGCACATTTTTTTTGGTCCATTTTCTATCAGTAATGGCTTCTTGACAGCCCCACGTTTCCACAGCATTGAGTTGTCTTCTCAAAGTAGAAAGTGAGACAAAAATTGTGGATTTTTTTTTTCAGATCTCCAAGACTGGAGCTTAATTTTCTCCTCTCTCTCAAAGCTTTAAGTACTGTTTATCTGATGGTGACAGTTTTGGTTATCTACCACCAAACCTGTCATGGTTGTTAGAAATCCTGTTTTCTCTTCATCTTTTAATCATTTTTTGAACTCCAGTTTTGGAATCAGTATATAACCATTGCCTTTCTAAAGAACCCCTGAAGACCCCCCTTTTTAAAAGTGTAGATCTGACTTTGTCATTCTTATATTACATTCATTATGGATACTGGTATCATAGAATATTTGAATATTGTTTAGTATTTAAGTGCATAAGATATTGTCAATTTAAGGTATAAATTTTGAGAGAAATATAAACAAGGCAAGCAGTAATTGAGTCAAATATCTGGAAATGACGTTTATCTAACTGATTTGGCTGCTACAACAGGACAGGGTTTGGTGAATTGTTTTGGCCAAGGTCAGATCAGTCCATGATCAAATTAGCCTTTTTCTAGAGAAAAGATGGGGATAGTCAAGGTCAAGAATATGTGATCTGTTCTGTGTCCTTAAGGTTGACTGCTGTGAGTGTAAGGTGTGAAGGTAAAATTTACACTATAAATTGCTTTTGTTTTTTAGCAGTGAGATTCAGTGCTGTTTTTATTGTCTTTCATCTGAATCAGACATTGATCATAGATCTTAGGCACGCTAAAGTTGGAACACAAGAATACATGAATAAGACTGTGCTTCTCTTCATCTCCAGATCTTTTGCTTTTTGATGAGAGAGCTCATTGAGCGTAAACAGCACATTTTGGCGAATGAAAAGGATTCACATGTCAAAAGGCAGTGGCACTTTCATGGCAAGACTCAGTTCTCTCTCAGCTGCTTCTTCTCTCCTAATAGCTACATAATTAATCCTCTGTAGTATTGTATTCACTCTTCCATTCCGCACTCACTGTAGAGCCTTTCCCTTAAGAAAGCTTCTTGAAGTCTCACATGCTGACAGGCAGCTGAGAAATATATAAAGATTAATGAATTAATATAGAATTGCCACAGCGTCCTGAGTTTTCTCTGCACTGTGAAAAGAGGAAACCTAACTATTAAACTGGGTAGGCACACTCGCTCATTTAAAACCAATGTGAAGGCAGCAATGCTAAATGCAGAAAGTACTGAAGCTGTTAGACATGTATGCAAAATGTTTATTGTACAAAGCAAATATAATACAACAGGTCCTGTACATTTTCAGTGTTCTGTTTTTCGCCAAAATGCCACTCTTTTGGAATGTTACAGCACTTTGACATATCAGATGATAAACTCTCCAGCAGAAGATGCAGATGACAAATCTATGATGACAAACCTATGATGACAAACCTATGATGGCTTTGGGTGAAACGACTGGAGGCTGACTACTGTGCCACACATTCCCATTATCACATTCATATTTAAAAATTACTTTTGGTTGCTACTAAGGAGAAGATTATCTTTTTTTTTTATCAAATTAGGTACTGTAGGTAAAAACCACAAACCAACCACAATTCCCATTTAGCACAATGCCTCCTTCATGAAAACATGACCTCTCTTAAATTACACTGTCATAAGTAATAAATATACTACTGGTTTTAAAAGCACTGCACCTTTTGGCAACTGTCCACTTACACTAATGTAAGACAGTAACTCAAGTCTTGGGTATAGCTGTGCTTAGGTGATCGATTTACAATTTAAGTTCACTCTTGCTATTATTGTTCCTTTGAGCAGGACAGCTCCCCAGAAACAGATAAATTCACAAAGCACAGATCTACTACACATCATATTAGCAACAGTCATGGTGCACTTTCTCTGTATTTGACGTGGTGGGGTGGGCACTACAAATAAACACATACCATCGTTAGCAAAAGTTTGACCAGCCCTTGTCAAATGACACGTTTTGTTGATTGAAAATAAGTTAACACACCCTATACAGAAAATAAACTTAATGTTCTGCAATTTTTAGCATGCAGTTTCTATTTATTTATTGAGTTTAACACATACAAAGAATGCCACAATGTCTGCCCAAGCTACTTTTTAATTCTTTTCCCAATGCTAAATTTGGCAAATAAACAATAAATGTGTATTAAAATGTGCATAAGTGTGTTCTCTAAAAACTTATTTTCAGAAAATCAATAAAACATGCCATTTGACAAGGCGTGCACAAACTTTTGCGTAGAACCACAATTCTATACACTGTTAAAAATAAGTATGCTATTCTTGGATAGGCCTGAAGTTTTGTTTTTGCCACATAAAATTCATACACAGCTATACTGTGATTTTAATGACTATCAGTACCATACAGAATCATGGATGAACAATGCTAATAAGCCCAGAAGCACAATCTCAGCAATAATGCAAAAATGGAGCCAGAGTAACCACAGGAAATTAAAACATTTCGCTAAATGTGAAGACAGGAGGATACTACTGTAAGCTAAGAAGGTAGAAAGCCACAATTAGAGTGTCCATTACTGAACGGTTATTACTTATAACATGGAACTTATGGGTAAGCCACAGCATCCAATGAACAAATCAAATACAAATTGAGATATCTGAATTGAATGGTTTGCTCATTACTGTATCAGGCCAATTAACAAGCTGAGGTAGAAGCATAGCCAAAATGTTAACTGTGAAAACCCATTTAGAAGTAGGTTGTGAATTAAAGCAAATGCATTTATGTTCTAATTAAAAGATAAGCTACTGGACTCCCAACAAGTACTGATCTTAGGTCACATGGCTCTTTTGAGGAGTGGATGATGAGCATCTGGGCAGTGACAACGTAAAAATGTTTTTTTTTTGGAGTGGCTCTAGTTAGATGTTCTCTGTCCAGTCAGAGGTTGTGCAACGGGAAGGTTCTCATGCAGAAACTTCATGCTGCCCTGCTCAGAGAAATCTGCAGCAGTGTGGCCGTCTCCTCGCAAAACCCACTTAGTAGTCAGGAGCCCTTCGAGTCCCACAGGCCCGCGGGCATGGATACGAGCAGTGCTGATGCCAACCTCCGCACCTACAGCAGATGACAAGGTCAGTGGAGATTTACTGTTGGTTTAAGCTTCATACTGTCATATCTGAAACACTGAACACTGTACACTGAGCACTGCCCCCTTCATCCAATAATATAAGAATGCCTTACTTTCTACTGAGCAACATTTATCACACTGGTTTTCTGCAAATAAAAGTGCAGTAAATATATCTCAGAGGTCTCAGGATGTTAACTTTGTCAGGTTTAAACATTGCAAGGCAAGTTAACATGAAAAGAAAGTGCAGCTCTAACAACTTAATCCCTTACAGTCCACAAACTACCATTTAAAAGGGAATAGGAAGAGGAATCACCACTCAATAGTTTGGAATCACTATTTTCATTAAAATTAAACTAATTTTGTTGCAGGTACACTCATATATTTATTCTTTTATGATACTAAAACTTCATACGTTTCATCTGATTTGTCAACTACAATAAATTAGCACCCAGAATGATTTTTTAATCATTTAATAACTTCTTGCTGTTCCCCCAAAAAATTAAATATTGAATAAAACCTAAAAAAAATCTAACTTATATTTTTTCAAACATTTAAATATATATGTATATGTGGACCCACACCCCATTCCCTACATCCTCACTCTACATAACTTCCATATGAGTTACTAGTAAATACTATGAAATGAATGATAGCTACTGAGCAATACATCACAAGATATAATACATGAACAATAAGCAAAGGGTCCGAAGGATTAAAAGTGTAGAAACAGAACAAAACAAATATATGAGCATTAGCAATCTTACCAAGACCAAAGCGATATCCATCTGCAAACCGTGAGCTGGCATTCCAGAACACACAGGCACTGTCCACCAACTGCAGAAACTGCTCTGCTGTCTCCTCTGCAAACAGTGAAATTCAGTAAATTTGTTACATAAACACATTTTAATTGATTGATGTAACTACATTTGTTATTAATAAAGAACAGTTAAATGACTGGCCAAAATAATTATTTTAGCGCCTGTGTAAGATACCATCTTTGCCACAAGATGGCACTATTGCAGCTAAAATATTACATCATCCAAGTCAGTAAAGGCTGCAGCATCTTAATTCAAGCATCCAACATCTACATCTAACTATATTGTTAATAACTAATAAAACTCAAGTTAACACAACGTAAAATTAATTATTTCTACAGATCGCCAACAGATCTGCACTGCTTGGTAGATGTGCTAAGACTAAATCAGAATAGATCAGCTAAGATGACAAAGAGAGATTGGAGCTTTACCATTCTCAGTGACGATGACATCAGTGTGTGAACTGCCATATTTATGAATGTGATCTACAGCCTCCTGCATGCTGTCCACCACTTCTATGCAGCACTCCAAATCTCCATACTCTGTACGCAGAGATTTCACCTCTGAAGGGCTGAACGTCAGGTATGATGCAAACCTGGGGCCAGCATGTATCTTCACCTGTATAAGCCCATCTATTAACAATCAAAAAAGTACAGCTAGGTAAATATAACAGAAATAGAGCATGTTTTTCCAACAATCTTACTTGTTCTGTTCTCAGCATGTCAATGATCTGGTCAAAAAGTGGAGTTCGGAGCACATCTCTGTGAACCAGGAGGGTTTCCATCGCATTGCAGGCTGCAGGGTAGTCACATTTTGAGTCTCTGACTGCAGAGAAACATTAACAAACCAAAAAAAATCATTATACATACATACATACATACATACATACATATTCACTGCACGTGCTACCACTGTAGTATGTAACCACATGAAATATGCAGGTTACTTTTTACCAATTTTGATGACTTTATCAATGCTGGCCTCATGGTCGACATAGACGTGACAGATGCCCTCACTGTGGCCCAGCACAGGAATGCCCTTAGCAGCACGCTGGATGTCTCTGACCAGCTGAGACGACCCACGAGGAATAATCAGATCAATCATTTTCTCCAGACGACACAGATCCTCCACCTCCTCTCGTGTGCTCACCTACAACACACAACAAAACACATTTTATGACTTGGATAACAGATACATATCAGAGCATAATCATGGCAAAGAAAACAGTCAAAATATAGCAAGAAATTAATATTTACATCACACTACCATCTTACCAGCTGGATGGCATCTTTGATATTATGCACGGACAAAGCTTCCTGGGCTAGCTCATGTAAAATGCGGTTGGTGTTAGCCGCCTCTTTTCCACCCTTCAGGAGCAGAGCATTCCCACTTGCGATAGCTAAAGCAGAAACCTGTTGAGAGAAACAGCAAAACAAAAAAAAAAGTCAAATTTTAACATGGGTTCTGTGTATGCATGGAGAAGGACATAAAGAGAGATGGACCTGAGGCAGGCAGTCTGGTCGGGATTCGAAGATGACAAGCAGTACTCCGATGGGAACAGTGATCTGCTCTAGCTCCAGGTTGTTGGCCACACGGGTCCTTCGCAGGACTCTTCCCACACTGTCCTGAGAGGACACTGCAATCTGCCGAAGGCCAATGGCCAGACTGTTCAGTTTAGATGTGGACAAGCTCAGCCGTTTCAGCATCGAAGGAGGCATACGCCCTATCATACAAGAGAGAAGCAGTAAAGTCTTCAGCTTACTGTAAAAATACTGAAACCTCTCAAATAAATAGGCCAAATTCACTTCATCATATCAGGTGGGTGACCTATGGTTACAAGCTAAGTGTTAAAGGGGCAATTCCATAGAAAACAACTTTCCCAAGCATTTTTGGAAATAAGAGTTTGATGTAGTGTGTAAATGCTGTTGAAGTTTTTCAAAACATACCGTTCACTTCCCAGCTCATACAGTTCAACTAACAGCCTGTTTTGAATTTTTGTGAAATCATAAAAACCAAATCATTTACATACATCCACCTATACAGCCTACAGTGGTTTAGAACCACCCACTGACACTGAAGTTATAAGGAATATTTCAGTCCAGAATGAAGCACAATACAATGTAGCCAATCAGAAAAGAGATCATTTACATATTTCAGTCTTAAATGTACAATAATAAACAGAGCCTGTTTAATTTGAAGGCATTAAAAAGGGTTAGAAAACAGCCACGCAAAAATAAATTATGACCACACAGGGACCAAGAAAAAAATTTCAAGAAAAATTTAAGATGGCCCTTTATTTAACACATAACATGATCCTGCTGGTTCAGATGAAATGTACCTGAATTAATAGCGAGCTCCATGTCCTTCTTATTGGCAGAAAGAATTTCTTCTTTTTTCTCAGTCAGAAGGTCAGCCATGGTGTAAATGATCTCACTCCTCTGTGAGAAGAAACATCATATGTTGACGTGAAATTATAATTGGTGCACTTCATCGTGCCTCACTAACGAAAACATGTCAAACAAACAAAACTGCATATCATTATGAGCATCTGCATTCAGCATTATGAGATGATGTTGTGTGCTTGCCTGCTCTGGGAGTAAGGAAGCCAGAGTCCTCCCTGCAGTGCGAGCCATGTCTGTCTGCTGCTCCACCGTGGGCCCTGTAGCATTGGAAACAACATGATAAATATCACCTAATATGATCTAAGATTATTTTTACAAGGGGTATAACCTTAACATTGTCGTTGCCAAGGGGAAATTGCTATTTTTTTAATCATATATTGGTTTTATTAAAAAAAGGCATTTGGAATGTTTGTAGTGGTCTGGTCATGAGTATTGGTCAGCTATTTTCAGACATAGTTGACTTGAAGAGCCTGCCTTCCTAATGTTTATTAGCCTACATCATTAGAAACTGTGTCCAATACCAAAACAAAAAAAAAAGTTACAATTAAAACCTTTTTTATTATGGCTGGCCAAATGTTGTTGCATGTTGCTTTTACGTAGCACTACCAAGTGTCGCTTAAGGCTACTAAATACATCTACATTCATTTAGTGACTGTTTTCAAGCTATGTTAAAGCTTCAAGCCTGGGGTTCTCAAGGAAGCTGTATGTAAAGATAATTTTGACCAGATGGCCCAGGCATAATGAACATACATTTTGGGCACTAAAATGCCCGCATGTTGTACTAGGGATGAGATCAGGGTACAACACAATTAAACACAAAATCGGTACACTGACAGTACACAGTGTCAAGTGACTTAAAACTAATCACTTACCAGCAGGCTTAACCTCTGAAAAGAATGTTCCCACTTTCTTGCCCTCCACAATGTCAGTGATGACATGCCCAGTGACCTTGGGGTGGGTGCCATTAGCAATTACTACGGAAGTGCCCCCCTGAAGAGCCCAAAGAGCAGCCTTCACCTGCAGACAACATAAGAAAACGCAAAAAAAAATAAATAAATAAATAAAAATAAAAAAATAAAAAAATCACAACAGCTCATCTTTAATTATCCTAATAATGAAAAGCTGAGCTGCACTATTGGATCGCATACTTCAAACAGTGAGATTGCAGGCAAACCTTAGCTTCCATTCCACCTATGCCAACCCTGGATTTTGTGCCATACGTTATAGACTGCTGGTCACCAGGGTAGAAAGTGTCAAGCAATTTGGCATCATCTGTCCCAGGAGGGCTGTCATAAAGACCTGTGATAGGCAGCAGATTACTTTATAACTTTCAAAGAAAAAATATTTTTCCTAAGACCCATCATTAAAGTGTGTTCAAAATAATGATGGCTATTTGGGTCTTACCTTCTACATCAGAGAGAGCAATGAGGAGGTCAGCTCTCATCTCCACAGCAAGCCGAGCTGCCAAACTGTCATTGTCCTTGATGCTTATGACCTGTGATATGACAAAAGGGAGTACATGACAGTCAAATCCAAAGGACTTTGTAAGCTACAATGGATTGCCCACTCTTTGAAATACTATCGAATGTTTTCATGAATAACTCCAACTTTATATACTTTATCAATGCATTATTTGTGTCACCCACTAAACCTTCATCACTGGTCAGTTTCCGACCACAAAAACACTACTGTCTGGACATTTTTGTTTGGCGGACAATTTGTAAACCAGTGGCAAATAATATTTGGTCAGTGGCGTCCTATGGTGGTCCTTTTCAGTGATGGATGGGGTAGAGGGTGACACAAATTAAGCAGCAATAGATGTGCAAGAGTCAGCACCTACAAAGCAGTAGATGTTACCTAATAAACTGATACTTCAGAAGGTATAGAGAGATAAGAAAAAGTTCAAATGATACAGATTAAGTGGGACTAGCCCCTGATGTTTACAAAAACCACTATGGTAGAAGACTAAATCAGTGCTTCAAAGCATGCAAAGAGGAATGCTGTATGTAAGCAACAGCATTTTACAGAAAATGGAATGATGATGGCATTTTCCATGTAAGTGCAGGAAATAAGAGAAGAGTCAAGCTGCGCGAATGTTTTCCACTCAGCTCCGGCCTCTTCTAGGCTCTGGCTTCCAGCATGCATGTGTTAAAAGCTCCTTCCCTGCATGCAGCTCTCAATGGCCACTGGGAAATTGGGGTGGTTTGCCAGTCCCTTTTCCCATCCCCTCTGTTCTGTACCCACGTTTACCCCCTGCAGATCGCTGTTGGGCTCTGGAGGAGGCACCACTGCATCGTTGGTGTTGATGATGGGCACAATGTTCATACGCAGCAGCTCATGCAAGGTGCTGTTCAGGTTCCTTCTCTTCTGATCATCATGGAAGTCCAAGTTTGTGACCAAGATCTGGAAAGAAAAAAACAGAAGACTCAATTAATGTGCTCAAACGTTACAGGTGAGTTACTTAATCCAAGAAAGCCAAAAAGTAAGGCATTTAAACTGTGTGAGTGTACCTGTGCTGTGCAGGTGCTGTACTGAGTGAACATGGCTTCATACAAAGCCATCAGTCCACTCTGGCCTGCAGCGGCACATGCCCTTGCCTCCAAAACGGGCAGAGACTGGAAAGAAAAGCAGAAAACATCACTGGACTAGAGCTTTCATCTGAAATTTCAATCTGAACCTGAGTACATGCTGACAACCTTCTGTTCAAGCCCGACCTGACTGGTACCACAACTTTGGAATCTAACACTAACCTGAGCCCGACAAAATTTTGTGCGGAACCCAGACTGGCACATCACCCAAAGTGATGAATAAAACCCGATATAACTAATAACAGCGTCAGTTAATTTAAATCTAAAGTTAAATTAAATATACAGTATTGTGCAAATCTTTAAGCACCTGAAAAAATTGAATTAAAAAGCTTATCTGGGCAGGCCTTGTTTATTTGCTCAGGAAAACAATAATGTTGGAATAAATACAAATATATTAATAGGATTAGTAGTGATTTTATGCAAGTCAGTATGTTCGTTTAACCATTTCCAAACTGCCCAGTATTCTTTGTGGGTATCATCCAAAACAGAGTTTGGTCAATCAAAGCTTCATTATGTTATATCAAGTGTGCTGGTGATGAAATTTAGTAATGTGAAGGCTGGAAGAGTCCAGAAGACATGGGGAATCAAACCAGCTAACAGGATATCAACTACTTTTTTCGATATAAGAAATAAATTTTTGTTAATTTTTTCCTCTATTTATGTTTATTTGCATTAACCCTAAGGTTATATTGTGTTTTTACAAGCAATAACACACTTACTACCATGATAAATGATTTTAAACAACGTGCACAAGTAGTCAGGTCTCGTCAGGTTCGGATTAATATTTCATGCTTTACATTGGACATCTCTTTAGACTTGATTTCTTTTTTGTTCAACTGATTAATCACACTTCCAACAATAACGATTGTCTGCAGCACTATTATGTGGAGTGTGATGGGTATACCCATTTTAATTTGTTCTGCTTACCCCTAGTGCTGCAATTATTTCTATATTTCAATCAATTCTAAATGATTTTATGATCAACTATTTTTTTCAATGAATCAGCTAACATAATTAGCAAAAAAAGGGTTGCAATATGATCGCTTTTGTTTTAAATGTCAGTGTTGTCGGCTTTGTTTATTTATTTATTAAACATCATAACTGTTGCAGCCCTACTCACCATGTCTTTGAGCTGATTTTGTCCAGAGTGGAGAGCCTGTCTGACACTCTGAGAGAGAAGAATCTCATGCCTGAGTCTCTGCTTCCCAAATGCCACAGCTCCACTAGTGACGATCATCATTTCTCTGCCCTGATTCTGCAGCATCGCCACCTTAGATCACCCCAACAACAACAACAACTCAGTTCAAATACGTCAGCATGGGTTGCAAATGCATGTACAATAATTGTTTTATTAACCTTTATGACAATGACTATGACTAAAAAACACTGAGCCATAAACCTCCAGCTTGCTTGCACAATGGTAAGCAGGCAAATTCTCCAAGAATGACCTTAGACCTCTCTTACCTGTTCAACAATGGAGGCGAGCCTCCCAAGTGCAAGGCCGCACTCATCACCTCGAGTTACCACAGCACTGCCCAGCTTGACCACAATCCTTTTGGCCTGGCGAAGCTCGCTGCGGTGGGCGAATGACTTACCATGGGCACGCGCCAGTGGCACTGTAAGAAAAGGCACGTTACTCCATTGACGAACAGCATGGAGTCTGACAAATGGAGAGGTAGAGGGATCTGGTGGAAGAAAAAGCCACGAAGGGAGCCAATGAGGAGCCGTGCCATGCAGGGAGCCAATGAAGAGGAGGTGAGAGTGATGGGTGAGTTAGCAAACAGCCTTGCAGCAATCCGGTTAGGGGTGGCGTGTAGTGTAGGATAATGTGTAAGGTAATGATAGATGTAGAGAAACAGCTGAAAGACATTAAACTGAAGGACCCACCTTCCTAAAATATATGAAGACTAAGGATGCCTACTGACTTAAATACTTGGTCAATTCAGAATTTGCCACAAAGTCATGCATTTGCCAGCAGGATTTCCCACAGTACTTTAGATAACAAAAGAGCAGTGAGCTTTAGGCCTTATGCCTAAATATGAACAAAATAGTCAATTTATGTGACCAATAAAAATATTTTTAGATATTATCTAAACAACTGCAATTTGCTAAAGACACAAGCACGCCCCACCCCCATTCACTGAAAGCAAATGACAGTGTTAAAAGTGCCACATCAGCAAAGGCAACCAGCCAGCAAGCCCCACTGCTGACAGCACAGAACGCAGAACAGTGCATGAAATTGAATGAATGAGAGCAGCAGACAGGGACACAAAGAATGTGGGGAGGGGCAGGGAATAACGGAAAATAAATCTCTAAGCATTTAAAAAAAAAAATTAATGAAAAAAAAACAAACATAGAACACACTAAAGGAACAAAATATATAATAATAATTAGGGCTTTCAAACAGGTTGCAATCCTTCACTACTTTTAATGAAGATGTAAAATACTACAAAATACATGAAAAGGAAACCCACTCTTTCCCTGTGAAACAGATCTTGTGGAGGTCCGGAGGCTTTTTGGGCCCACAGAGAGCCGGGAGCATAGAGACAGTCTCTGCAGCAACATGGCGGCCACGCTCTTTAAACTGCAACATATATACAAAGCAGAATTTTAGAATGAAATCAAATTCAAAGCCTACTTATGTGGTTTCCAGTGCACAGATTCTCTAAAATGGTCCACACAGAGTTATGTATGTACTTAAATACTTATTTTTTTTTATAATTCACTAACCTATCATAGTCTAATGTAGACTACCCATCACAGAAGTTGCATACCACTGCAACTTAGCAGTGCTGTGGAGTGCTTTAACCTGCTCAGAGAAACCAGAGAAACTACGCTCAGTGCTAGAATAGATGGTACATGGCTTTTTGGAGCAAAGAGAATATTACTCACTGCATTCTTATGGAAGACCAGACATTGCAGTGCTAGGGTTGTGTTACACTGTAACAGAGCCACTTTATTACTCTTCACATAGTTTGTGGAAGTAATGGTACTGTACAGTGTAGCTGGTTTGTCTGTCACCGCAGGTTTCATTATAAACAAACCCACCTATCTGGATGAAACGCTCTGCTACTGATCCAGCAACCTAGTCTCAAATAACCTAATGATCCATCACAATCTGCTATTTCATCACACACATATGCTGCAATCAGCAGGTGGTTGAAAACCGACATTGCATCATTTATTAAATGCACCTGAGCTTTTTCAATACAACAAACAGGCTGTTAAGGTTATCAAAGCTACACTCTTAAAAGATGTTTAGAAGGTTCTTTAGTAAAGGCAATAGTTCTATTTCGTTCTATATAACCATGAGTAAATATTACGTAGTTCTTTGCATGGTGAATTGATGGAGAATGTGTTGTATATGGTCCAAGATAGCACCACAGAGGGTACCTCTATTGTAAGAAGCTTTAGCTAACGTTATATCGTAACAAGAGAACAACCCATTTTGGTGCTATATAGAACCATTTTCAAAAAGGTTCTATATAGAACCCTATACAATACATTCTCCATCAATCTGAAGAACCATTTCACCATGCAAAGACCCATTTAAGAATTAATTTATTCTATATAGCTAGAAGAACCATCTTTTTAAGAGTGTAGGATATAACCACATGGGTGAACATACAAGTTAACATTCGGTTAGGTGGTTAGTGTTAGTGTTTACTTTGCTCCTGACTACCTGAACGAGAAAATTGTGAAACTAAGTAACTTCCACAGCTAACTAACTAACAAACATGTAGCTAACGAGTTAACGTAAATCCCGATAACAAACAGCCAGCCATGTAACCACTCTACTGCAACCTGGGCCAAATAAAGGTCTCTGAACTTATTTTAGATTTACGTTACCCGTTTGCTAATTCTTCAGAATCATAAAAGCGGTAGCGCTACCTAAAGTTAGCTTCATAGTTTCAGACAGGCTTGCAGTGTGGCTGGCATCTCCATAAACACAGCGAGCTAACGCTATATGGGTCATTTAACCCAGCTTGCTAGCGAGCAAACTAACAGACAGCAGCTAATTTACGATAATAATCCCACAGCTAGCTAAGTTACTGTCTGGAAAAACATAAAGAAGTTAACGTTACATCTGCACACAGTGCACTCTTACATACCCTGTTCTGCAAACTACTAAACTTCGTCTCCAGGTTCAAGTTCAGTGTGTTTGGGCTGCTGTCCTGAGTGCCACATCAACTCGTGGCTGCTCCGCTTCTCTCCTCGACCATGTTGACATGCAGCTACGTGGAAACGCAGACTGCGCATGCGCTGCCTAGTGGCGCGATTCACAAATGTATTTACGTAGCAAAAAAACACTAAAATAAATATGACATCTTTGCTCAGTAATAACACATAACTTTCGTTTCAGAAAAGTTGTCACCAACATGGACTTGAACGAGCTCATTCGAATTTCTACCATAGACCTGGGGAGATTTTGAGCAAAAGTGCCGACAACATGTGGGTTTACGGATTAAGTGGTGATAATGGGTGCAAGACACTCTTACACTATAACAGCAGGTGGCGTTATAAGCAAAATCAGAAAAATATACAGCTGCAGAGTTTCTACAGCAAACGGGTTTTGTGCAGCAGGACGCTAGTATTACTGCTACTGAGTGCTGATTGGTTGGCGAGCGGAGTAGCTCATTGGCTGTTTGCGCTCACTGACGACATGAAAGTACACAAGGCGCAGTTTCAAACTCGATATAACTCGAGTTCAAAAGCACTTAAAATATAACATTGGTGTTAAAATGATTTATCCTGCTCTGTGTTCAGGAAATGAATGTATTCTTTTGCATTAAAAATGTTACAGCATTTATAAAGTAGAAGGATGTATTTCACTAAAAAACAAAGAAATTCTCTGTATATTTCTTACTTCTTTCTGTAGCAAAGGGGCTTTGGGCAGTAGGACACTGGCATTACTGCTACTGCGTGCTGATTGGTAGGCGAGAAGCAGCTGTTTAGCTGAGTGAATGTACATGAGGGGTTCAAAAGTTCACAAGTACTTAAAAATATAACAGCAGTGTTAAACTGTTTTATGCTGTTCTGTGTTCAAGAAATGGATGTATTCTTCTATATAAAAATGTTTAATCATTTACAAACTATGAGTTTGCTCAAATGCTCCAGATTAACCTATTTATTTTGGACTTGCTCGAGAGCGCCATCTAGTGTTTGACCAATGTGGAACACTTGGCAGTTCTCTTCTCTCTTCTCAAATTCTCTGGTAAGAGCTTGCAGTAACACTTTATTTGAAGTCTACTTACATAGGAACCTCATGGTACATGCCTAAACCATAAATAACAAAAATATATAAAATAAATAGATATTTTCAATACTTCAGCATTTATGGGTTGCTAATGTCAGTGTTCCTAAAATGATAAAAGATATTTTATGATGTCAATTACATTGTATTGACATAACAGCCCATGACAGATTTGTTTCATTCATAACACTGCTATGAAGCATCATTGTCATGTAGTGGGACTTATACCACGGTGGCCCTATTTCAGAATAAAATATAGCAGGTTAATGAAAGATTGTTATGCCCTTAAACTAAAGTGGTGGTTTTCATACATACTTTCCCACATGTAAATAGCCTACCAGTGGTTGATAAAGTCCAAAATGAAAGCAGAATTAGAAATACCCTTGATAAAATATTGCTAAAAGTAGAAGTCCTGTATCTATATTTTACTTGTGTTAAAGTACAAAATTAAACAGTTTGTATATCAAAATTAGTACTGTGAGTTTTTATAGATTTTGTGTTACACAGGGTGTCCCAAAAAAATTCACATCATTTCATAGTCTATTAACACAATTCTCCCTCAAATGATCTCAAATTTTAACAAAATGTGTAAAAACTAACCAGGTTTAATTTTTAATGTTTTTTTTTTAGTTTGAAGAATGGCGTTCACTAGAAATGAAAAGGCATTTTGTGTGTTAGAATATACTCGAACACAGTCAAACAAGAGTGTGCAGCGTGCATTTTCAAGAAAATTCAATACAAATGCACCAACTGGAAAGCAGATTTGGACATGGCACAAAAAATTCAAAGAGGAAGGCTGTCTGTGCAGGGCAAAGGGATCTGGATGACCACCAGTATCGGAAGATATTACATTTGTGAAGCTTTGTGAAATCGGTTCTAAAATCTACATCCCTCTGAATTTCTTGTTCGACTTTTGATAAATAAATCTTGTATTGTTCAACATGAAGTCTATTTAATTTCGTTTGCCCAGGACATGTAGTTACTCAGATATTCACATCTCAAATGATGCCAATTTTTATGAGACTCCCTGTATTATTTTGATGCCCTGTGTGGCTGGAGAAATGAAAATCTGCATAAATGAGTAAGCTGTTCAGTTTGCATCTACACAGGTCTCTTTAATAGAAACTGTACTTTTATACTGTATCATAAGTAGAAATAGTTTTTAACCAGGCTTCTCTGTCTTATATGTTCAATTATCTGGGAATAATGCTTTATAACAGTGTTAGAAATGTCTGTCACTTTAATTTAAGGTCTGGATATCAATATAGCAAAGTGTTTTCTAAATAAATTATTCAATGCTTATGCATGTGTTATGAAGCCTCTTGGTATGTATCCTTCAAATAAAGAGTTAAAGAGATTGCTTACTTTAATCTTTGATTGTTTTGGTTTGTGTGCACATTTCAGACAAAACGTTACAATAGGTTACCCCCCCTCCCCACAAAGCTATAGAATTTTTATCAGGTACATCCCTCCTACAGCAAATTGAGCTACAATAGCCTACGCCAATTCTAGAGTAAAAGGTTTGCAAAAGCCTACACCTGGCCTATGGCAAAGCCGTGATCATTATCAAGAACACTTGCTATAGTGGACAACATCCAGATGTACCCACAGGTGTCATTCATTTTCCACACTGTGCAGTCACGCACTTGCAAGCTCTAAGTGAGAAATGTGTCCCCAGTGGTGGACAGAGGCATCAAAGGCCTGTATAACCTTAGGGCCAACACAGAGACTCTTCAGCCTGTTTTTCTCATCACACTGGTATATTCTTGCCATAAAAAGTGTCTGGTATGCATGGAATTGTGCTTTTTGCCATATGTTTGTGTGTGCTTTTGTGTACATGCACCAGCTGTACTGCTCTGGACTGATCCTCCGATGTCTAAGTGTGATTTTCAAGCCTCTTTTAGACAGCCTAGATAGCTTGATTAAATTATATCCATGCATTACGACATAGTATCTCTCCACGCACAAATTAATTTATGATGCTTCAAACCCCCTTCTAGCCGCATAAGCCAAATTCAAATCAAATCAATCAGCAATTTCATTTCTAAGTACACTTTTATGATAAATATAGCATCAAGGCCATTTCCTCCCCTAAACCTTCTCAGAAACCACTGCGGGGATTTGAGCAGAAATAAATTCTGTTCTGAAACCACATTCCAGTGCTTCCTTATTCAGAGTCCTTATTCAGACTGAAACTGAAAAATAAGAGTGGGATTGCTAGGTGGTTGCCATGGTATCCTAGGTGGTTGTTATGACATTCCAGGTGATTGCTTGGGAGTTGCTAGGTGGTTGCTAACATATCCCAGGTGGTTGTTATTATATTTCAGGTGATTGCTCTGGTGTTGCTGCTGTACTTGTATAATTTTGACCTAAGAGGGGTGTAAAAACTTTTACACACTTCTCACAATCACTCCAAGCATCCGATGTCTCAAAAACTGTGGGACAAGTTAGAAGACAAAAATGTGGCAAAAGAAAAATAAGAAGAATATAAATTGGATGACAATCATGTTACACGTTGCACAATCATTAAAATATCCATCAGCATTTATTGCATATTTCTAAATCTAAGACACTCTAATTTCGCAGTTTTTTTGGAAACTTTGTTTTCACAGGTGTTCAGAGTCTCAATAAAAGTACTAGGAACATCTGAGGGATTTCTAAACAGTACTACTTCAAAAGATAGTTATCATTTATTGTTATTTATCAAGATTTGTAGGGGGAAGCCTTTTGGTGCTAGACTGTTCGAGTAGTTTGAGAAGTAACAGATGGCCAACAAAGCAGTTACAGTATCTGTAAATAAGATGGCACAGCAGCTACTAGACCTCTCTTAGCATTGTGCCATTTCTTGGGACATAAATATCAAAACCCAAAAAAAGGAAAAAAAACTCTAACTAATGCTAATTTCTGCAAGTGCCCCTATTGGATTTTAGTAGCTAGCGCTAAGCTAAAAACAATTCATTTGAACATTTTTGGTCATTCTAGATAAACATAGGCATTCAATGTTTTATTGAAAGCTTGCAACAGACATTATTACATATTTTACCTTGTAGTATTTTTAAAGTGTCTCTTTTAGGACTCTGGGATGGAGCTGATGCTGCTGTCTTCTATTTCTAACATTTGACTGAAATGCAGTCAGTGATGTATTTAGAACTTCCAGAAGGCCGACAGTGATGTTTTTTCTCATGGAACTGGTCCCACCCTTTGTAAATCAAAATAAGATTGGTTGATTGCTCTGTTAGTTTTTAATTATTTTAGTGGTGAATATGACAATTAGGCCTTGAGTTCAGCTCCTGAAGTCCTAACTAATGGGAGAGCTCGCTTGGCTGTTTCTACCTAGATATCAAAGGCAAAAATATTTTTGGGCAATTTCAATTTGGGCTGCTTCAAGAATTTAACTTTTTTGTTTCAAATAAAAACTTAATAATAAAGTAAGATAATTACTACAACAATCGTAGAGTTTACAAAATGACAGCATGATAACTATACTCAACAAAAATAAACAAACAAAGTACAGCCTTTTTTAATTATTTCACAATAATCATTAGAAGGGCCTGAGGGTTCACACTGAGTCTTTTATCTTGTGTACACTTGTCTGTCACATTCATAGTTCTTTATGCACCCTTTCAGTTTGTACAGAATGCCTGACAATTGTTTTGCACCATTTGAATGCACCATCTGCTCTTTACATTGTGTGATGTACACTTGGGCATATGCATAATGAAAACTTCAACTGAATGAAACTCAATCGAAAGCTCAGAAGACTTTGAGAGAAGTAAAGATAGTGATACTTCTTATGTCATATAAGACTGCATAGCTTCTTGGAAGAACTGACTAGAACATGAAACTCTTTTATGCTTAGTTCCCTTTAGGGGCTGAATATGATTAATGTCTGGATGAGGTATATTTCCTGGTTCATATTTCAGTGAAGGTCATGCACAGCACACTAAGTGGTCTCTGAATGGTCATGTTATAATGGGAAACAATGTTTCAAGTATAAGCTGGGCATCAACCAAGACTCAGTAATGCTCAGTTTGACTTTTACACCCATCCAGTGTTTTAGTTCATGGTTAAAGTTGCCTTGGAAAAAAAAAATCACATGGAAACATGACCAAATGCCGACATTTATTTACGTTCCTATGTTCTAACAAACATCCCCTTAGAAACAGCATTCTGAAAGCTTAATTAAAGTGGTATGTCTGTGCCCCTTTGGAGGCCATGTGTTTTCTCCAAAAGGAAGCTGGAGAGATGAGATTTTCATGCTATGAATTATGCATTTGGTGCCACAGAGACATAAGTATGTTCTAAATAGACTGGGTAGATCATGCTCCTTTTAGTGAGACCATGTCTTTCAAGATAATTTCCATGACTCCATCAATGCTCACCATTCTTCATATGTCAAAAAGTCTGCTGATTTATTACATGCTAAAAACACAAATTATAATACTGTATTTATGCAGGTTTCTATTTTGCAGATTTTAAAGAAACAGTAAATAATTTTCAATCAAAGAATACAATGAACTCGTTTCTCACAGCTTCTCCCAGTAATACAGTCTGATTTAAATAAGTAGATATAGCGGTAATTTCACAGAATCTTTAAATAACTCTGACTTCAAAGTAGCACTGCACAGCTGTGCTCCCTCCAGACAAAGATTATATGATAACTAAATCTACAGCTGCGATAAGAGGGCGGATCTGTAACTTTCATAATCTCACCAGGAAAGCGCACTTCTTCCTCTTTCATTTAACGTTTTCGTATTACAGAGTTTGAAAGTACACTTTATTCCTTTTTTACGTTTCCTCCTAATTTTTTCTGCACAGTTTCCTAATTTTTACATGAGAACTGAAAATGCTGATGGAGAAAAAGGGAGTCCTCGGCAATCAGCGTTTAAACTTCTCTCTCTCTTTCTCTTACTCTTACTAACATCACTCCCCCATTCTCTGTTCAGCTCCAGTACCTCTAAACAAAATATGAGCACCATTAAACAAACAACCTACACATTTCTGCTACAAATGAAAACTTAACCTTTATTTCGAGCACCTACTACCGTGAACAATTCAGCTGAAAGTGGTGCAAGTACAAATGTTACACAGGAGGGGTTAATTGTAACACACTGAGGGGCTAATTGTAATGCTTGCAGGTAAATTCTGATAAACAGAATTATTTAAATACAGTTCTATCAATACAGTGCTTTCCAACCTAAATACAATTAAAATGTATTTCATTTTCATAACATTCATAGTACCTGTGAATAAAAAGTTTGGACTTCTCTCATTGTTTATAATGGGAGGCTTGATGAATGATAAATCACCAACAATGTCTATTTAAGAAAATGTCATACTGCATTATATGGGTATAAAAAGCAACAACCAAACATAATGCAGTGAGGGGAACATGCATTTAGTAAACAAGTATTTCTGAGCTAAATAAAACTAGTTCAATTGCTTGCTACCACATGAAGTAATCTTTTTAAGTTAACCCATTTTTTACTATTTTAGTGTGAATGGGGAAAAACTCTTAACACCATGTTTGCTTTCTTCTGTAACATGTTTAGACTTATTCTCCCAGACTCTGAGATGCTTAGTTGTAAAACAGCACTCTTAAAAAAAGATGGTTCTTCAAGGGTTCTTTATTAAAGTAAATGGTTCTACATAGAACCATGAACACTGAAAGAGCCCTTTGCATCATGAAAACGTTTTTCAGATTGATGGAGAATGTGCTGTAGATGGTTCTATATAGAACCTTTTTAAAAAAAGTGTTCTATATAGCACCAAAAAGGGTTCTGCTATTGTAACAATCTTGACATCATAACAATAGAAGAACCCATCTTAGTACGATTTAGAACTCTTTTCAAAAAGGTTCTTTATAGAATCATCTACAGCACATTCTCCATCAATCTGAAAAATGTTTTCATGATGCAAAAAACCCTTTAATCATTCAGAAGGTTCTTTAAGTGTTCATGGTCCTATATAGAGGCATTTTTTTTTACTAAAGAACCCTTGGAGCCCCATTGGTTTTAAAAGTGTGTGTTAAAACTAAGCCCATCATGTAGAAGCTGAACTTTAGCTTGGCTAGCTGTTGCTGTGAGCTCTTTATATAGTGCTACAAAATAATGCTATATTACAGCCAGCAAAAGAAAGATACTTTTATCATACAAAAGTGTACAACTGTGACAAATGTGGATCTCGAGAAATGTTTGATTCTGCATTGCTATAAAAAAATGAGAAAAGTGTCCAGAAGCATGTTTTACTTGAACCTGTTTTTGCCCTTCTTTAGGTTGTGCCACATATTTCTTTTTATAACTATGGGTAAACATAAGAGTTGTTGAGGAATTAGAGACTGAAGATATTCTATATCTAGTTTTCTCCCATTCTTTTGGCGCAACCCCACACTTGATCTTTCAGGTCTGTTTCCCTCCAGCATTTAGTATCTTCTCTCAGCATCCACTGCGCCATCTCCGCTCCCCAAGGAAATGATGTATAATACACAGGGACAAAGGCTGTAATTTAATCCATGAGAATTTTTGTTGCAACAATGGTTTTCAGTTTTCAATAACTTAGCATTTAATGTTCTAGTATATTTTTTGAGAAGCGGGAGTGAAAGGCAGTTGTCGCCGTTGAAAAAAAAAAACAAGCATGCTTTTGTGTTGGATGAAAGCTTGGCCGGAAGTCAGTCCCTTTAGGAGGGGAACAGTGGCAGGACAATGGCAGCTAGTGTGAGAGTGTGGATTATGTATTGAAGCTGCAGGCACCTAGCTGTGTTTCCTCTATAAGCTGAACACAATTTTTTGCTCTCTGTCTCTTTCTCTCTCACTTTTACAGTACACAACGGACCAAGAGGAATTGCCAGGAAGTGTTTGAAATAAAATCTAGATGCATTAACGTACATTCAATTTAAGAATGTTTTTTGCTTTTTTCTATCAAGTTAACATTTCAGAGATACAAGGTTTTGTTACCGCTTTCTAAGGACGACATGGGCACATGAGTGATGTGACAGAGATAGTGAGTAAGGGTTTGTGAGAGAGAGATTGAGAAAGAGACAGAGAGAGGAAGTGAGAGAGCAAAAGACAGAGCGAGAGAAAGGGAAGAAAGACAAAAAGAAAAAAAGAGAGCGAGAGAGAGAGAGACAGAGGCAGAGAAAGAGAGAGAGACAAAAAGAAAGAGAAAGAGATAGAGAGACAGACAGAGAAAGAGAGAGAGAGAGAGAGAGAGAGAGAGAGAGAGAGAAGGGGAAAAGACTGCTGGCGGCAATCCCGCCCACTCTTAAGCCCCCCACCCCCCACCCCCACCTTATAAAGGACCTCAAGAATGGGAAAGACCTGCTGGCTGAGAAATACAAGCCATCAAGCAAGAAGACCAAACAGAGGGAGACCCAGAAAGAGAGAGTGACAGAGGGAAGAAGACAGGGGGGAGCGAGAAAGGAATAAAAAGAAGCTGCACAAATGGATGATCAGCCAGGTAGGTCAAGCGTTTTTTTTCTTGTTTATGTGCACTCTGACTGTTCACCACAGGACAAGCTGTAAGCTCATGAATGGCGGGAAAGAGGCTGCATATAAAGCAGGAGGCTGCGGTCCAGCGGAGTCAAATTACTTGGGTCCAGATGGCTTACAGATGATTTCCCCAAGAACTATTGATGTGGACAGTAGAGCGGTTATATACATATCTCATCACGTCTGAATCTGATTTGTCTTATTCCGACACTGGTGTGTGGTTTAACAGACTTCTGCCTTTATTTCCGGCCTTAACTGATTCATTGACTTGTTTGAGAATGCAGCCTACCAATTTCAGCGGCATGTGCATTTGACATAACGAAGCAATTGTAAATTGCATGAGTGAACACAGCCTTCAGACGTCTGCCAAATTTCCATAAAAGAGCATGACCGAAAATAACCTTCAAAAAAGCTGGAAAGGGTCTTTTAAAGTATACACCACTGAGCCAAAAAGAAATCAGGTTTGGCTGTCAAACAAACCTTCAACAGCACATCATTTTTCAAAGGAAGCTTATGTAGTTTTAGAATGGCTATATTAGTCGACTTGTCGACTTCCTTGAAAAAATGACTGGGATGACTTGCACCTGGCTTTAGGAAGAGCTAAAAGCTGCCTCATAGTATGACTGATTTAAAATTGGATTTCCATTATGAGTAGAACCACAACTAATGGAAGTTACCGGATCTCTTGTGAACGAAGACATGAAGTTCAGACCAGTACGCTAATATGTCCATTTGGTCCCTGTCCAAGTGATTGCTGCTGATGTGGATTCGCTGAGGGGCAGGGAGTTTGCTCTTGTGCTCAGAGTGCTAGAGGGACAGTCTGAGAGGAAAGTGCGAGGAAAGACCGTTACATAACCCCGAGGAATTGCTCTGTGAGTACATACAGGCCATCTGGAAACGAAGAAAGCCAACAGTACAAAACAAAGGCCTGGCAGTGTTTCCAAAACAATGTAGCTATTAAAGTGCAGACGGTTTACAAGAAAGTTTTACAACTAAACCTTGTCTTAAACCTTGATTTCACCTTAAGTCTTTCTAAAACAAAGAGGGCCATACATTTGGGAACAGCAGATGACTCTGATGTCTCATTCTTATGCTGGAGGATGGACCTGGTCACTCAGTTAGTGCCATCCACCACCCTGTCCCCCATCAACAAGCCCCTCTTTTTTTACTGCATTGGGGGAAACCAAACTTCCTGTCGCTGACACAACAAGGTCGGTGTGGACGTTCCTTATTATTCCAGTCATGTGTTGTTTGAGGAAGTCCTCTAGAGACTGTTATAGAAATGGGGCCTCGGTGATTCCCTTTTTTTATAGGGCGAGTTGCTCACAAGCAAGGCACAAACATGCAGGCTGAAGACAGAAAAAAAATGATTGTATAGCTAATTACCATCTGCAACGCTATCTGCCTTATCAGTACATCAGAACATCTAGGCCTGGATGATTAAATGGTTAAGGATTGTCAAATAAAGAGATTGTGTTATAACTTAAATGAATAATATTCTGTCTTAAAACCTTAAAAGCACAGCTGAATAAACAGTGCTGATGTCCACAGTTGGCAGAGTCTATGATCATTCCGCAGTGGAGGTGTAATGTAAGTGAAAGTGCTCTAATGAGGAGCAGTGAGACCAGCTCCAGATCTGTGTGAGAGTAATTATATCGTGACTGTTCTCACACATCACAGTACTGTTGAATATGGACTTGCTGAAAAGCCACACATGTTAAACAATTTAAACTATATTACATGCCATACTCCACTTATGCGCCCTATTGGCACACAGAGAAGAGACTAAGAGAATGACAGGCAAGGTCTTCTTTTACAGTCCCTGAAAAGACCAAAATATTACATTATTCTTGTATTATATTTTTCACCCAAGGTCCAGTTATACTCCCTGCCCCTTAACGAATCCACATCAGCAGCAATCACTTGGACAGGGACCAAATTTTAAATGTTCTTTATCAATTTAATAACCTGTTAATCATTTCAGTGTAGCTTACTGAGACTGTGTTGGCGCTTAGAATACTTACACAGAACTTTGGAGATTGCTCCCCACACATACTCAGTTAATACCTAGAACCTTTTGGGTATTTCAGAATAGCTTACTTAAACTACCTCAGAACATACCAACATGTTGCTCAAAATAATTATCTAGTACTTAAGAGCTTGAATCTCACAGTTACCTGGTTAAGACTTAGGGGACTGTAAAGGCAAGTGTTACCTGACCCTCTACAGGCACAGACACAGGATATGTTTTTTTCTAAAGTTTCACTTATGGCTTTTTAAAACATATCAGCCACACATATATATCTATACTGGTCACAGGCTGGCCCACATGTGAAGCAGTGTCATATGCACTCAGACTGTGGCCAACTTGTGGGCAAAAGCTGTTGCACTCGTGTGCAGAAATGAATTGACTGGTTCAAGTGTTGCTGAAATCACATTTTAAGTGAGTCATTTCCCTTAAGACACTGAGCACTGAGAGATCCCAGTTCTCACAGTATAAAAATGTATTTTTTTTCCTGACATGTTAACAAATATTTCCCTTTCTTAGCTCCAATTTATTAAACAATGACCAATGCCTAATTACTTTACCAGCCAATACAGAATTCCAATATATGGCAATGTATGGATTTTAAACATATGACATATATTAGCATAAATAGATTTTCCTTATTTTCAAATTATTTTTGTCACATATGGGCATATATCTGATATATGTGCCAACTTATTTGAAATTGGCCATTTTCAAATATGGCACATATATTTCAGCCATATTTCAACAATATCAATGTGTGTTACACATATGTGCAAACAAATATCTGTACACATACTTGGCAATATATAAACATTAGTATAATATTAGTATTATTTGTACAATAGCTACATAACTAAACTTGTTACAAGCTATAGAACCATTTAAACATGAAATAAGTGAAAATATTTTTCCTGACACATTTAAATAATTTAATATATAGATCAGACTACGTAAGATAAATGATCCATATAGTTTTTATATCGCTGTTGTCGGAAGAAAATCTTTTATCTCCGAAATGATAACTTTTCAGGAAAAGGAAGAAACCTACTTTACTTTTAATGTAAGTCAATGGAACAAGACTTTTTTTCCAAGTCATTTTGGGCCGTTTCTTTTGGTCTATTCATCATCCACAAAAATGGAGATACAAGGTTTTCTTCCAACAGCAGAGATATATTTGTTTACGCAGCTATCAGACATATATGCATGATCCATATATTATGCATTTATGTCCAATATTTGATACTTACATATATGTGCTCAATATATATGTGTACATATATTTTGAAATATACCTGACTCTTTATGATACATATATATATATATGTACACACACACACACACACACACACACACACACACACACACACATACATATATATATATATATATATATATATATATATATATATATATATATATATATAGCTACATTTCCTTCAGGATCAATAAAGTATCTATCCATCCATATATGGCCATATGTCCGATCACTAGCACCAAGAGCACTAAGCATCTGGTAGCAATGAGCTGGCTTTTCCTACTTGAAAGCCTGACAGCAGTTAATCATAACCCACACCTACTTTAAATAACAAAGGAGAGACAATGGGGTCTCTAGACACAGCCATGGAAACATGAAAAGGCCTATGAGGTTCTGAAAAGACTTTGTATATCAATCATCTCTACAGCTATGTTGATGATTATCTCATTATAAACTGCATTAAGGAATCTACAATGCATTCAGCTATTGAGGTGCACAAAACAGTAGTATGTGGAAGGGTCAAAGATGAGGTCAGCCAAAGGGGATGTAACAGATTATCTCGTTCCTTCAGGAGGGCAATAGTTAAAAATGTCAGGAAACAAAAACAAACCAACATGGCTGCAATCATCAACAGCCTTTTCACCCTGCTGTTTTTATATAAATATAAATGTGATGGCTAATAAAATAAAACATGATTCAGTGTGTGCTCACCCTCCCAGGGCCTCCCAGAGGAAGTTTTAGTGTACAAAGGGGAGTGAGTGTCCTGGGCTTGGCTTTGACTGATAAGATTAAGGAGAGTGCCACTACTAGGAAATGAGACATAGTGACTTTTCTAGCTTGAAAGGACATGATTATGTACTGTTTCATGCCTCCTGACAGTTTTGGACACCATAAGCAAACAGTCTTTGTTTCATGAAAGTTTTAGGATTTGGTAAATCAATGGGCCATCGATGATGGGCTCTTTCTGAGCAATCAGTTTGGAATATAGGATTTACTGTACTACGCATTGTTCATATATGCAAATGAATGCTGGATTAATTTTAGTTCTGTCCCCACCCATTCATGTTGAAGTGAAAAGGAGTGTTGTTACTGCAGACAGTCTGTAGCAGTGTTATTGGAGTGGAAGATGAGTAGAAAATGTCTAAACTGTGCTGTTCCCGAGTGTCTGGACGCAAAAGTTGTTATTGCGGCCTCCCACAGGATCCACAGAAGTCCCTGAAGTTGATTTTTTTCCTGAGGATTTCAGTCCAAACATTTTTTCCTGCACTTTTCAGCTGAGACAATTCAAATGAGGTACGCTATAAAAAGGTCAACCTGAAAATTTTCAGGTCAACTTGACATTTCACATTCACTTTTTGTTTTAAGTTGCGTTAGTTCAGTTTAAACTCTTTTGTTGACCTAACCTTAAAATATAAAGTTGACTAGAGGTAATTTATGTAGATAAGAGTTAAAGGCACAAGGTTTATACCTAGAACACAAAGGCCCACATTATTGAAAACAACATTTCAATCACTTTGTTTTTAAACAAAAGACTTTAACATGGTATGTAAATGTTGTTAATTTTTCAAAACATACTGTTCTCTCCCCAGTTCATGCAGTCAATATATGGAATCTAAGCTGCAAAAACAGCCCATTTTGATTTAATTGTTTTTTTTTGTCATGAAAACTAGCACATATATGT